TGCCATCTTCAGACAACAAATATGGTATTCTGTTGAACACACCTTTTTGTTCAATTTTCTGGACGTCAACTTGCCCCCCATCCTGAAATTTCACCTTGTCATGTAGACTTCCATAGCCCTCTGCATGCCCCCCTGGCGGTTTGTATCCACCAGGACGCTCGAGCATAGATGGCATCGAGGTTGGGCAAGCTTGTGGTAGCACATTAGCTATTAACCCTCCACCAACTCTCACGTTCAAGCATGGTCTAGCCTCTGAGACGGTTTTATGAGTAACTGTCGGCACATGCGGTTGCTTTACATGAGTGGTGAACGTGGGAGCGAGATTTTTATTATAACCGCTATGCTGAAGACGTATTTGACTTGTCGCCGGAGGCGGTAAGTTCCCTGACCGTGGATGGGTAGTCTGGCCACCGGAGAACAAGATACTTGTATACTCAGTAGCAATACTTGGTGGCGGATCTATACCAATTTTTGGTAAAGAAATTCCTCGCACCACTGGTTCTATAAAATCTTTTTTAAGCTTATCCAAGCAATTTGTATTTTCTATAGTTGTTTCAAGCAATTCATCCAAACGTCTATCTAACATAGAACTAAAAGAAGCAAGTTTTAGACTTGTCTGTTGTGGACTTTTAACAAGTCCATTCAAACTCTCTTCCATCAATCGACGGGTCTCCACCATCACTTGACGGTTCTCCCCCACCATCTTGCAGTTATCATCCACCATTGAGCGGAGTGACATGGCAGTGGTGGTTACATCAACACAAGGCGCCGCCGGTGGCAAGATCTCAATCAAGCCATTGTTTCCGACAACACTTACTGTTGCTTGGCCAAATTTGAACTTGGCCGCAAACTCCTTCACAACTCCTGATGAAATATCGCCTTCCTGTTCTCTCAGTCGTGGAGCTATCAAATCAAACACACAGAGTCCCACCAGGTGTGCCAATTTGTTTTCCGACGTGGAAAAACTGGTGTTTGAACACAATGGATAAACCTTTGACTTCTTGAACAACGATTAATAACACAGTTCACTCCTCTCCGAACAATGTTCGAACGAGGGTGTTTGATGTTTTTGATGGTTTTTTGGGAACAAAGCTAAGTTAAGTTACTCTACTCCTATGGAGGTTCAGTGAGAGCTCCAGAAACTAAAACTATGGCTAATTTGCAGAGAAAAGGATAAAGTTTGACATTGTGCGTCAAATGTTTGGTTGTGGAACCCTTTTACAATTTTAGTTTCTCCTATTTATAGACATCGAGTGTAACTGCCTTGGTAACTGCCTTTGTAACCGTTAGCTGGCTTGTTGCTCCAAACCGCCTCGGGGTCCTTGTCACCGCCTTGGTGACTAGTTGGTAACCGTCACCTTGCCTTAGTCGAATTTCTTGTCTTATTGACTTGATATGCTGATGTCACCAGTTGGTAACCGTCACCTTGGGGGCCCTTGTCTCGTTTTGGGCTGGTGGGTACTTGATGGTTTCGATGCCGGGTCGGGTTGTTGTTGATCCTTATCGCCTTGTCATGACTGGATGGGGTTGAGGCTCTTGCCTTAGCCTCCATGAACCATGATGAGGTCTTGATCTCACCCTCGACTGCTTGATGACTCCCCGCTCCTGAGTCCGCTACCACTTCATGACACCAAGTCCTTCTCATTAACTTGTTGGTTGTTACCAAGCCGTCTCATCGGCTTGATACCTTCTGGCATGCCACCAAGCCCATGTAATCAACTTGACACCCCTTGCTACCAAGCCAGCCCTGGTGGCTTGGTCTCCATACTTAGTTTTTGTAGCCTCATCAAGTTGGTAAGTTACACCCTACCGGCTTGGTACCCTGTTAGGGTGCTACCAAGCCCGTCTTGGGACTTTATCTCCATATATGGCCCCATAAAGGCCATACCTAGCCACCATGCCTTAGTCGAATTTCTTGTCTTGTTGACTTGATACGCTGATGTCTGGTTATCAAGTTCGTCTTGGCCCCCTGTTGCCTGGCCACCAAGTTAGTCTTACCGGCTTGATACCCCCTTGGGGTCATGGTACCCTGTCGCTTTGCTTGGCTTCCAAGCCTGTCTTGCCGACCCCGTTGGCTTCATACTTAGCCAAATGTCTTGGTACCAAGCCCGCCTTGCCGACATGGTACCCTCTTGCCCCATACTTAGCCGATTTTGTCTCAGCACCAGGCCTGCCTTGCCGGCTTGGTACCCCGTTGGGGTCTTGGTACCCTGTCGCTTTGCTTGGCTTCCAAGCCTGTCTTGCCGACCCCGTTGGCTTCATACTTAGCCAAATATCTTGGTACCAAGCCCGCCTTGCCGGCATGGTACCCTCTTGCCCCATACTTAGCCGATTTTGTCTCAGCACCAGGCCTGCCTTGCCGGCTTGGTACCCCGTCGTTGACCCTCTTACTTGGTACCCGGTCGTTTGGCACCCCGTTGTGTCACCTTGTTTTCCATACTTAGTTTTTGGATGACCTTCAATTTGGTACATGGTTGGGTCTCCATCCTTAGTCAAATTTCATACCAAGGGGTGGAGGCATCGTCCGGCTATGGAGGCCATGGAGACGGGTCGACCATTGTATAGAGTCGACCATTGTATAGAGAAGAAGGGTTTTGGCCACTTAGGCCCAAAAACTCAACCCAACAAGGCCCATCTAACTTTTTTAGTTATTAATGTTGAGTTGACCTTATAAATCACTACCACTCCTTGAAAATAATCAATGTGGTATTGAATGATTTTTTAGTGGTAAACACACTTATTGTTTCTCAAATTTTGTCAAGTACTCCAGTTCATCATGGAAGAAAAAGGGCATAGAAAAAGGGAAGTAAAAGCAAACAAAAAACAGAGAGTGCGGCTGCTTTCTCAGGAGGAAAGTCACTAATCAGTAATCATCATCACCATTCAACGAAATCACAGTTCAAACAAATAACAATGATAACCAGCAACCAAAATATGCCTAAACAATCTGCTGTAGTTGGAAGAAATTGATTAGGCGTGGGAAACGTTTCTGTTTCTTCTAGAATTTTTCATCTTCTTCGTTCCTCTTTGCCCTCTGTTCATCACAGATATCGGTTTGACCCAGGGATGAATTGGTAGTTGCACTGTTGAACCATTGGCCAATTGACAATCAGACGCCAGGTACGACCTGAGACCGAGACTAGTCCAGTCAAAAACCCAGGGCCACGACTCGGTTATATACGGGGACTCTGAACCCAACCCACCACCACGTCTACGGCTGATAGTATATTTTCGGAATGTATATTTATTATTTAGTCCCCAAACTTAGTGTTCACTAATTTCTTAGCATTCAAATGGTTTACTTTTAACATTTCAATCCTTAGATGATAGATATCCTTTATGTATACCTTGGCCGATTGACTACTATGTCAACAAAGAGCTTAAAACGTTACATCTGGTGTCCGCCGCAGATAAACGATGTCATTGATCAAGCTACTAAGGTAGAGAGCTTGATAAACGGACAATGTGGTACTAGATTCATCTGGAAGTTCCACTCAACGAATCGTCCTTATTGATGCTAATGATTTTATATGTTATTATTCAGATTTGAGATTTACAAGTGCCATTATAAGACTAATTAAGAGCTTTGACGAGTAATTTCACTGATCAATTATTACTGATGTCAAGCTTATGCGGTTCTTAATCTTTATATTGTCTCAAATTCATGATTGTCTAGTGATTTGTTGAACGCTATGTCACTGATTGCATTTCGAAAAAAAAAAAGAAGAAGATGAAGATGCGTCGTTGTATTTTATTGTAATTTGCACCATTAGTATATTTTTATGGTAAAAATTACCATGATTTTGTCGAGCCCGCTCGATAAGGGTCCAAGTGGGTTGTGGTTTCTGGCCTGTCAACGGGTGGCGGGGAACCCGGGACCCGTCAATCATGATTTTCGGGCGGTTGTGGTTCATTCATTATCCGCCCTGCGACCCGCCCGACGGGTTATCCGTGTACAAAAACGACGTCGTTTGGAGGACCATATACATACTTCGCTTTCCCTTCCAGAAACCCTAGCAGCCGCCTCAAATTTCATTCTTCACCAAACGATCCAAAAATCAGAAACCCTAGTTTCCTTCTTTCTCTCTGCCTCCTCTTTGGCGATTAGCGATCAGATCGCTAGATAATCGCGATTTGGTCAATTTTTTTGCCTTTTCCCCTCATCAATTCCTCAATTTGACCAATCACATGGATGGAAGAGCAACCATTCGATGAAGATTTCGTCGAGCGCAGTCCAAAAACGAGTCGTTGGAAGTTCAAATCGCCGATTCTTCGAGAAGAGATAAGTTAATTCTGGGTTTCTTATCTTTTCTTTCAAGTATCTTCCCTGATTCCCGTTCCCCAAACTTTCTACTGACTCTTCTTGTACTGGTATATATAGGGGGATTCAGAGCACAAAGGTCATTTCTCACCTCGCCATCTTTTGAAATCGAGAACAAGAACACCCCAGTCCACAGAGAGCAGAGACCGAGGGATTTAGTCGAGCTTCCTGACAGAGTCCAGTCGTCGAGGGTAAGGATCTTGATCTCGTCTATACTTTTTCTGGGTTAGTGGTGTCAATACAGACGTGCATGCATTAAAATCCAGTTATAACTTGATTTGTGTTCGTTGTTCACTCTTTTTGGGCTAGGTTGGACTCGTTTGGATCGGGTTTCGAGAACTGAAGGGGAACAGAGTGAGTGATCAGTGAGCAGTGAGGATCAATCTACTGTCATTGGGTACTCGATAGTCCACAGAAAACTCCAATCCGAGAAGGTAATCCCGTCCTCCTCTCCTAAGCCTCAACTCACTGTGTTTGTTCATAATGCTGCGACTTGTTGTGACAATCTATGGATTCATAATGCTAGTAAGTAAAAAGTATTAAACTGTAATCGTGATTTTGTTGCAAAAGATGTTTGTTTGCTAGTTTAGCCTTGTCATTGTGAATGTAACTAAGTTAAATTAAGGCTTAATTAGTAACACATAAATTTATTATGTTCAGATGGAAGGTGCCTACTGCTATGAATGTTGACCCTGCTCCAAATTCCAATGTGAATATCCCTGAAAATGGCGTCCAACCTCAACCTGAACAACCTTATCCTGATGCAATTAATCCAGTTAATGGTAATGTTGAAGAGCTTGAAGCTCAACATAAGTTAACCTCTAATGTGTGGCCTCACTTCAACCGAGTTAGGGTTAATAGGGTTATGAATGCTAGGTGTAAGTACTGTCGTAAATCCCTTGGTGGGGAAACCAGTAATGGAACTTCACACATGAGAAGCCATATCAAAACATGTATCCAAAAGAGGATACATGATGGTTCTCAAAATATACTTGGCCCTAACTATCAACCTGCCGGAAATCCTCAACTCTTTGCTTCTCAATACAATTCTGAGGTTTCTAGGAAGGAACTTTGTTCAATGATTCTGGTTCATGAGTACCCTCTTAGCCTTGTTGATCATGTGGGTTTCAAACATTTTTGTTGTTCTCTTCAACCTCAATTTGCTGTCCCTAGTAGAAACATGGTGAAAAAGGATATTCTGGGTATGTTTGGGGTTGAAAGGTCTAAATATCAGTCGATGGAAACTTGGGGAGGGTTTCAGTGACTACTGATTTGTGGACTGCCACAAATCAGAAAATGGGGTATATGGCAGTAACTGGTCACTTTATTGACAACTCTTTGAAGGTTCGTAACATAATGTTGACGTTTATGTATGTTCCAGCTCCTCACACTAGTCAAAGACTAGCTGATAGGTTGTTTGATTGTCTTCTTGATTGGAACATTGATGGTAAGTTGTCCCCAATCACACTGGACAATTGTACCCCCAATGATTCAATGATATTTCATATGAGAAATAAGCTTGTGAGCAATGATTTGTTGCTTGATGGTAAACTGATTCATATGAGGTGTTCAGCTCATATTCTAAACCTGATTGTGAGGGATGGTTTGGATGCAATCAAAGATGCTATACATTTGATTAGAGAGAGTGTAGTTTAATGGAATTCTACACCTAAGAGGGTTCAAACCTTCTTCGAAGTTGTTAAATGTTAAGCAACTAAAGTTGAACTTTGAGAAAAAACTGGTGCTTGATTGTCCAACTAGATGGAATTCCACATACCATATGCTCTCTGTTGCTCTTCAATATAACAATGTTTTCTTTCGGTTGAACTTGAGGGACAATCAATACACATCTGTTCCTTCTAATTCTCATTGGGAATTTGCATCTGTTGTTATTGATAAGCTAGAAATATTCTCTGAGATAACTCGGTTATTCTCTGGTTCCAAGTATCCAACTGCTAATCTTTTCTTCCCAAAGATTTGTGACTTGAGATTGAAACTAAATAAGTGGGGTCTTTATCCCAACCCTGTGATTTTTGGAATGGCCAGTCAAATGTCTGAGAAGTTTGATAAGTACTGGGATGATATCCATCTTGTACTTGCTGTCTCGGTTGTTTTAGATCCTAGATATAAGCTCCATGTGATTGAATACTATGCTGGAAAGTTTGGGAATACGGAAACTGATTTGGTTGCTGAGAATATCAAGAAGGTTATTTGTGGTTTGATTCTTGATTATCAAGCCAAAGCCGAGAAGAAGTCTGGGTCTGAAACTGGAACTTCTTCTGCTAGTTCTGGTTCTGTCTCGGCTACTGAACATGACTATGAGCTCTTTGTAAGTCAAAGGAAAAAGATCAAGAGTTCTTTGGTTACTACTAAGTTGGATATGTATCTTGTTGAGGATATAATTTCTCGGACATCAGACTTTGATATGCTCTTGTGGTGGAAACTGAATGGTCTCAAGTATCCAACCTTGCAAGCAATTGCAAGGGACTTTTTGGCAATCCCAATTACATATGTTGCTTCTGAAAGTGCATTCAGTTCTGGTGGGAGGCTGTTAGACCCTCACCGGAGCAGGCTTCATTACTCAACTGTTGAATCAATGATGTGCACACGAAGCTGGATAATGGAAGACATGCAAAGAGGTAACATGCAACTAAACCTCCAAATTCTGGTACAAGTAATTTTGTTTAAGTGTAAATAATAATTTTTCATTTCTATCTGTAGATTCGGAGGCTGCTGCTGCTGTGGAGGCATTGGAGGGAGTCTTCTCAGCCCTGTCAGTCGACGATACGACTGTGGAGGAGGCAGAACCTGGGGGTAGGGGTGGGCATTGGGTGGGTCGGGTGGATTTTGACCATAAAATGCACCCACCCGCGCTTAAACGGATTGATAATTTTTAACCCACCACCCACCCACATTTAGTCTCGGGTTGGGTCGGGCGGATGGTGGATGATGCGGGTGGGTTTGTGGGTTCACCCACATCACAATGTATATTATATAAAGGAGTCAACTTGACATGATAATAGGTGAAGAGAATCATCGAGGAAAACAAAAAGTTGAAATAGGACGAAAAATGTCGAATTAGTTCTTAAATTGGATAGAAATTCTATTATGAAAGAGTTTTCTACAGATTGAGACGATTATTAGGTGCAAGGAACTAAGGAAAATAATTCCACAAAGGAAAGAGCGGTGATCTAGGCACAAGAATTAGAGGAAAAAGTAAAGGAAAGAAGAGGGGATCTCTATTTGGAAGGTTGGCTTTGAGGTTCAAACTCCAGGAGTAGTCCGAATTTATATCTAACGTCTCCACTCTCCTCTCTCTAGCGCCAACGACTTTGATCTTTTTGCTGTTGGGTTGAGCGGGTCACCCGCACACTCACCCACAACCCACCCACCACCCGGCGGATGGCTCCCAGCGCAACCCGTCATCCACCCACAGACCCATCCACTTAACAAAATTCGGGTCAAATGCGGGTGGGTCGGCCCAAACCCGCGGATGATCCGCCCGCATGCCCAGCCCTACCTGGGGGTAAGAAAAACACTTCTCCTTTTCTAAAATTTCTAACTCTGTTCATTGAGATTTGAGGCTCGACATAATGATTTACAACCTGTTTTTCAGGTCCTGAAATGGTGTTCTTGAAATCACCATTTGGCCAGGAAGACTGATCCATTTGCATCTGTCGAGCCAGGTATAACTTCAAATCATCTTCTCTTGTCACAGAACCTCGAGGTTGTTAATTGTTAGGCTTAGGAACTTAAGAATGTTTACTTGAATGTTTGTGCAGACTTGCATTTGATGAATGTTGACTGCTGCTACTTGCTTTGGAATAAGACTTAGCAAAAGTTAGGGATCCTTAAAGCTGCATCTTGCTCGAAGGAAGGCTGGTGTTACATTTGCTCTCAACGGTTAGGATGGCTTGGAGTTTGTTTTACCTTAGTCAGCTAGTTGTTCTTGCTTTTGAATAAGACTCGGCAGCCATGGTGCTGAGAGTTGATTTTTTTTTTTTTATTCTTTCAAGTTCGGATGATTTAAAGTTGCTGTTGATTGCAACTTTGTTGAGTTTGTGAGATCTTGTTGCTGATAGTTTCAGAATTCAGAGTTTCAGACTATCATTTATTCTGAATAAAGTATTATTTTCATGTTTTTTCATATATTAATTTTTTATTGTATTGTAGCGGGTATATTCGTGCGGGCACCCGAAAACCCAGCGATAATGGGGTTAGTACCACTACCAGACCCGTATCACCGTTTGGGTCGGGAAAGGGGAAACCCAAAATCCATAATAAGCAGGGGACGGATACAGGGTACCCGCGCTCGATCCGCCCGTCGCCATCCCTAGAAAACCCCTTAGTTAAATTCTCAGCTCCGCCATTAAGTACATTTTAATTTTTATTGTCCATCAAGGTTATGAACTTCGATAAAAAAAAAAAAAAGGTTATGAACTACTTTTTGTGTTCTTCCCTTGAGGACCGAATTGTAACAGATAATAAAATGAAGACTGATTTGTACTAATAAATTCTATTATTCCTAATATTCCTCAATTTCCTTCCTGTCTTTTTCCGCTCGCTTCCTTTTCTTTTCTTTTCCTTCATCTTTTCCGTTGAAGAGAAAGCAGACTTTGGTTGTTCGCTCTTAGCTGTACAAAGCCCTTCTCTTCTTCGTCTGTAATTTCAGCAGACAAATCTCTCTTTTCTCCATCTCTCTTCCCCTTTCCCTTTCTCCTCCCTCTGCTTTCGCTGTGGATTATTGAATTGCAGAGCGGCTGAGGTGTTTCAAGGGGGTGAAGAAGGAATCGTGGACTCGCCGATCTTCGAGTTGAAGTCAGCCATCCGCACAAGTCTTGACCGGAGAAGAAACTCTCCTCGTCGGCAGTAGTCAGTTAGGTAAGCGGTCGGTTTCTGGTAGTTTCGAGTTCAATTTCTTAGTCGGTTAGTACATAGAGAGAGAGAGAGAGCTGTTTTTACTTTGCTTCAGTTCCATTTGTCGCCGGATTTGATCCTTAAGATCCGTCGCTTTAGACGGTTGAATTTCGGCCTCCTCGTAATGTCCGTTGGTTGGCCGAGGAGTTACGGCCGAGGAAGCAGAAGAGTTAATTGAGCTCGCTGTGGAATTCAGATTTCACTGTGGTTTTCATGGCTTCCTTCTGCTTGCTTCGAATCCTGACTCTGGTTTAAATGTTCACAGGCGGTGGGGAGATGGCGAGTCGAGTTAAAGAGGACGAGAAGAATGAGAGAATTATCAGGGGACTTCTCAAACTTCAGGAGAATCGGAGATGCATCAACTGCAACAGTCTGGTAATGTGTTATTCGAGTGCTTTCTGCCGAGAAATTCTGGCAATGCTAATGTGGTGGTTTGGCTCTACTCCTATGAAACTTAACGGTTGCAGGAGTCAGTTAATTGATTTTGTATTTCAAGTGTTCGTTCGACTAGGGTGGAAATTTGCTAAGCAAGAAACGAAATTTGAGAGGGAAGCAATGCTGATGGAGTGTAGTTAGTAGTTTCATATGTCAATATCATAGGTCTAGGCTTGATAATGCTGCTAACTTAGTGAGAGATACTAGATATTCCTAGAGTGCATGTTAGTTAGTCCCCCAGGGAGTTCCTTAGATATGTGGAAAGGAATAACATCTTTTTTTTTTCTGGGAAGGGGTTCTTATTTTTTTTCCTTGCACAGTGACCAAAAATAAAATGAAAAAGGAGATTTGAGGATACTTCTGGATTACATATTAGTTTCCCTGTACCCTCAGGGACATAGCCGTAGGCGAGGAAGGATTTTCCTAGGTCAGAAGAGGTGACTGAAACTGTCAAAATTGAGGCTTTTGACCATTATATTAGGTGAAAAGAGCACATGCTTGGAGTGTTGCAGTACCATGTTATTGGAACGAGAAATTCACCGTTCTGCTTTTATTTGATTGTAACATGCATTTTTCTGTTCTAAGACATTTTCTTGCTTGATCAGGGACCGCAATATGTTTGCACAAATTTCTCGACATTTGTCTGCACTACCTGTAGTGGAATTCAGTAAGTATCTCCTAAGTGGCTTTAGGTTTGCTTAGGTTTTTATTCTCTTATATACTTATGGTGCTTGTTTCTGCTCTCATCAGTCGGGAGTTTACTCACAGAGTGAAATCAATATCAATGGCTAAATTTACCCCCCAAGAAGTTGGTGCACTTCAGGAAGGTGGAAACAAGGTATGCCAGCCTTGTATTTCATATCTGTTAAGTTTTATCTTATTGGATGGACGCATATGCCTGAATTTTCATCCTGGACCATCCCTTTTCTGGATCATCTTGACAGCGTGCAAGAGAAGTTCTTCTGAAAGACTGGGATCCTCAGCGTAACTCTACACCTGACAGCAGGTTTTGACATATTGCATCAAACTATCTTGCATGTTATTTATTATTATTGTTCTGATTTCCTTCCCATTTTTTTCTTTGGTGGCAGTAATGTTGATAGACTTCGGGACTTTATCAAACACGTGTATGTTGATAAAAGGTACACGGGTGATAAGAACTATGGCAAACCTCCAATTATGAAGACGGTGAGATGACATTATGCTCTTGAAATTATATTCCCATATCTTACCTGCTTTATTTCCTTGGTACGTGTTCGCACCATGGAAATGCTAATCGTCATAGTTAAATCTGTACAGGCTGATAGAGAGGATGTAGGGTCCCGGAGTCCACCATATGAGGATGTGTATGACCGCCGTTCCAATGAAAGGTCTAGTCCAGGTGGAAGAAGTGATGACAAAAACTACAGATATGGTTATGACGAGAGGAGAAGCCCTGGATATGATCAAGAAGGTAGACATTACAGTGATTACAGGAAAAGTCCTGCTCGACCAGAGATTATCAACGATTGGCGTCGGGAGGATAGATTTGGAAATGGAAGGAAAGGTGAGGACCATAGAGTATCTGATGGAGATTCAAAACTGAGTGGCAGGTCACCAGAGCGGCCAAATGATGTTGGGGGAACTAGTCCCCCGGTTGTACGGCCCGTTCGAGAAATTTTGGGTGATAGTGTAGTGCCTCTTCGTATAAGTGAACCACCTAAAGCTAATGCAGTAAGGACTGCTGATGGCTTTGTGGGGACACAGGTAGTCATCTTGTCAGTTGTCTTTTAAAACTCTTATAGCCTGTGTATTTGCTTTAATTACCTTGTTGTCAACTTTGGTCTTGAAATAATGGTGTGGACTTAATCCTACTGTTTGCTGTAACAATTACAGAGAACTGCCTCTTCAAGCAGCCTCAGCTCTACAACTGAGGCCCCTGCGGAAGTAAAAGTAGAACCCGCACCAAGCTTAATCGATTTTGATTCTGATCCCGCACCCACTGCTGCTGCGGCTGCTCCCCAAGCACAACAGACAACTTCAACTCAACCTGCTGCACCAACTTTAGCTGCCAGCAATGACAATAACTGGGCGTCTTTTGATTTCGCCCCTGCTCCTAAAGCTTCTGAAGCTCCTGCAAATGCCAGTCCACTGGATTCTGTTTTGTCTCAGTTGTCAGCTACGCCATCTGTACCTGGTCCTACCCAAATTATTCCGAATGGTTTTGGTACAATGCCTGTGACTGGCAATGGTGGTAATGCCCCTGTTCCAGAAGCTGGGCAATGGGCCACCACACAGCATCAACAACCTTCTTTAACGCCTGCACAGTCCACCTCTCAACAATATTCAGCCCCTGGCAATCATGTAAGCCTTGGTAACAGCCTTCTCGGCTTTCATTGTGTTATTCATATTTGTTAGCATCTGGACCTTACTGTTTACCTGTCCTTTTTGCAAGCTATGGAATTCTTCACTACCCCCTAATGTGCAAGCAGCTCTGAATACAACTCCTGGCGGCGGAACAATTCCAGGTCCTGGATCTTCACAATCTTCAACAGCTACTGGAATGAAAGAATTACCGCAGGTAACTATCCTTTTCTTCTTAGCTCTTCTTACTGTATGTTTATTGGTAGCAAATACATGTGCCTTACCTTATCCCTTAAATAACTGCAGGATCTGTTTACCGCAACATATCCTTATTTCCCTACAATGGTTCCAGGGTGGCAAACAGGTCCACCCCGTGGTATGATGTACCCTATGCAGTATTCTAATGTGCCAGCTCCTATGCAGTATGCTAATGTGCCATCCCCTATGCAATATGCTAATGTGCCATCCCCTATGCAATATGCTAATGTGCCATCCCCTATGCAATATAATAGTGCTGCTGCGGTAGGTTTCTCGGTAATAAAAAGATCTTTCATTATTGCTGCCTTATTTTGGATTTTCACTATTGGTTTTTCTGTATCTTTGTTTTCACCACAGCTTATGCCCACATTCATCCAGCAACCCTCAAAATCGTTAAATCCATTTGACGCAAATGAGCCAACACCAGCTCAGGCCCAACCTGTATGTGCTCTCTCTTCATTAATCTGAAGCTCTGTGTCTTTCATTTGGCAATATGTTTATGCTAAAAATCATATCCAAAAAGCTAAGCTAGTTGAGGAACACTTTCATTTTAAAGGCACAGCTTTCTGTGTTTTTATACTTTTTGTCTTTAAATATCTCAGTTGTGACATTGCTAAAGCAGCTTGCTCTGGAGATTGTATCAGTATTGAAGTCCTTTCTGACTTAAATTTTTGAAGTGATCGTTCTTGCTTGAATCTTGAAATAGAATTATTAGTTCGAGTACTAAGATTTTGGATGGTTAGAAGATTTGAATTTAAATTGTATCCACTTTTTTAGGAATTCAGTTTCTAGGAGTTGTGTGAACAGGCAAAGACTACCCAACCATGAATGCTATTATCTTTTGCTGGCTAATCCTCCTTCTGGTCTGCTTGACCGCGAATGCTGAGAATACTTTACTTCTGCATACAGAAAGCTACCCGAGGCTTCTGTTTATCTATTTATCTCTTACGTTACTGGTTTTATGTCTGCAGTTTCCTAATATGTCATCCTTGCAAAGTGCTTTACCAAATATGGCGGCACATTCAGGAATACAGCGGGCTTCAAGTCTTGATAACTCCGCACCACCAGCATGGATGCCAAACCAGTCATCACCTTATCAATCGGGATTGCATCCCCAGTTACAATCTTACTCAACTACAGCGCCTCCAAGTAAATTCTTTTCTCATTCAGTCTTTTCCACACCCTTGTGCTTTATTGTGTTTACATTCTCATCCTGCTTCACGAAACAACTCAGGGCCAACTACATCTCAAGTGCCGAGTCACTCGTCTGGGTATGTACTCCACGAACTATACATGCTGTTGTTCAGGTTATAGTAATCAGCTGCTAAATGCTTCTACCCTGACTCTCTACAGGCATCTAGGAATAGCAGGTTTCGGCAGCAGTGATGGTGGTGCTGCGTTTGGTGCCTTAAATTTGGACCAACATCTGGCTGGCGGATTCTCGGCTCCTGCTACCACATTGCAGCCGTTCCCTTCTGCAGGAGGCAACCCTTTTGGATGAAGAGTGATAAAACTGAAACAGGAATAATATTTCCTTCAGCTTGGTTTCGGAATTGCATCAACTTGTTGCTAATTGCCAAATTGCTGCTGTGTTAGAAAGTTTCGCCCTTCTTTCCTCGTCGTGATCCAGGCAAATTGTGAAGTGCTGGTCTTTCCCTGGGCGATAGGGCGAACTGTCCAAGGGAATTAAACCAGCAGCCGAAGTTGAAATAGGTAATGGGAAATTTTATAGGTCATCTTTAATCGTGATTTAGGGTTTCTCTTTTCATAATTCGATGGTGATTTTGCATTGTTGTAATATTATTGTTCATCACGGGGTGAAATCACTGAAATGTGTGCTGCATTGTTCCCCCGTGGAAACTGTACCATTTTTCTTGTGTTATCTTCTTCTTTCACTCAGCCATTTTCTGTTAAAATTCTTTGTAGGGGTTGGTTAGGGTTCTATTTTTCTTTTGTGGTTGGGGATGTGTATTAATTTGTAGTCTCTTCGGGTTTTTTTTTTTGTTTTTTTTTTTGCGGCAAGCTCTTTCGAGTCTGTGAAATATAATGTATGGGAATGCCATTTGGTCTCACTGCCTACAGCAAAGTTTGTGTAATTGCATATGGGTTAATACTATATTTGGTCACTGGGATTATTAAATCGTGACATGTTTAGTCACTAGAAAAAATTAATATCAAGTTTGGTCACTCAAATTACTAAAACAGGTCATATTTAGTCACTCTCCGTTAGTCTCTGTCCAACTCTGTTAAAAAGTGCTGACGTGGCTAATGAGAGCGCCTAATCAGCGTCGTTTTGGCCCAAAAATGGCCAAACCAGACCCGCCACGTCACTAAATCAGCCATGTCATACACCCAACCCATTAACCAAACCAAACCTAGAACCAACCTCGACCCATTTAACAACACAAAATTGAAAATCAATTGGGTTAGTGGCCATTTTCAGACCCGTAACCCTTCTCCTTCCTCGCGAAGCTCTTATGTGTTCGATCGAAAATGATAGAATCTAGAGGAAAGTGCTTACCCTTTTCATTACAATTCTTTTTCCATTCTATCTCCCAAGCAAAACAGCAACTAGAGAAAGAGCTACATTTTCCATTCTAATCTTCTACCAAACCAGACAAGCAAACAAACAAAACAAAAGCAGAAACTGAAATCGAAAAGCAAAACAAAACATTTCATTACCAGCAGTATCCTGCTTGTTCTTGACCCTAACATGTCCTTTGATCCCCTGCTTATCTATACCAAGCCCGTATTCTTCTTCCCATCCTTGCCGAACAATTCGTCAATAACAGTAACAGCCAAACCCTAGCCCTATTTCAGTACCAAAAAGACAAATCACAGACGCGTAGAGTCAACGGCTATGGAAGTAGCAGAAGTACCATCTGTTTCATGAGCCGGAAAGCGGCAGACTTTCAGGCTACCCCGACGTAGTTGAGAGGGGCTTCGGGAGCGGTCAGTTTTTCATCTACTCTCCCGCGGTACCCTTCTTCAGCTGCGTGCGGCGGCGGAACTGTCAGTCCGCTTCCTAGACGGTTGTTAGATCAGAGCGGAAGAGGAGAAATTTGAGAGAAGGAGAGTGAGAGAAGTAAACCTAGGGCGAAAGAAGAGAAAAAAGGAGCAAATTAGGTGTGTTGTGAAAGTCTTCACGAGGAAGGAGAAGGGTTTCGGGTCTGAAAATGGCCACTAACCCAATTGATTTTTCAATTTTGTGTTGTTAAATGGGTTGGGTTTGGTTCTAGGTTCGGTTTGGTTAATGGGTTGGGTTGGGTGTATGACATGGCGGGTTTAGTGACGTGGCGGGTCGGGTTTGACCATTTTTGGGTCAAAATGGCGCTGATTAGGCGCTCCCGTTAGCCACATCAGCACTTGTTAACGGATTTAGACGGAGACTAACGGAGAGTCACTAAATGTGACCTGTTTTAGTAATTTGAGTGACCAAAGTTGATATTAATTTTTTCTAGTGACTAAACATGTCATGATTTTGTAATCTTAGTGACCAAATGTGGCATTAACCCAATTGCATATATGTGACATTTTGGGATTGGTATTTCTTTTTTGGGTTAATACCTTGTTATGGCCTGAACTATGACCATGTAATCAACTTTGGCCAGTGGTTTGAGAAATTAACATCCTGGCCCGAACTATGCAGCATATAGATAAAATTGGCCTGGAGCGTGGTTTGACCGTTTGTTTGGACGGTCAACACCGTTGACCGTTAGTCAACTGTCCAGGTCACTGCCATGTCAGCATAAAAAAATTATAATTTCAATTTTCTTTTTATTTCATTTACAAAATTGAATAATAAAAAAAACAAAAAACAAAAACTTTTGGCCCACCCATTCCCACCTTATCCCCTCACCTTCTTTCCTTTTCGATCAAACCCAAACAAACCCTATCTTCCATATTCTTCCCCGATGAGCCACCGCCTCCATTCTCTCCGACTTCAAATGCAGCGGAGATCCGCCGCCTGCATCATCTTCACCAGCTTCCCCTGAAACCGTAAAAACAAAACCTCCACACAAGCTCTGCCTCTTCGACCAGCTCTTCCCCTTAACCTACACTCCACTCATCCTCTTCTACGCCAACCATGAAACCCCAAATCTCCAATCCACCGATCGCTTCATCGCCCACCTGAAGCGCTCTCTTGCCGAGACTCTGACCGTCTACTAACCTTTCTCCGGCAGGACGAATTCGGGCAACTTGCTCATCGACAGGTTCGGGGAAAGCATCCCGTTCATCCATGTCAAGGTCGAAAGCTGCCGCCTTTCCGATTTCCTCAAACGCCGTGAACCGAAAAACCTCAACTGCCTCCTCCCTCGAGCTCCCTTCCGTCGAGAAAGCTTCGAATTCGACTCCCCTGTTTTGGAGATGCAGGTCTCTATTTTCGCCTGCGGCGGAATCGCCCTGGGATGGGCCGCTATCACTTTTTGAATTGGAACCTTCTGACCAATATTGTAACAAATAAACATATTTGTATGTTTCTGTAAGACTCTTGTACTGATTTTGGGGTCTAAGGAATTGGGAGGGAAAGGTAATGGACAGTGAAGCCGATAGAATTTGCTGATCAAAATAAGGCGATAATTGGGGGAAAGGAAATGAGTCTCCCCTTCAACGGACATTTACCAGACGCTTTGGAATTGGAATGGAATTCTCGGTCGGGGAAGAATGGAGGCGGCGGCTCGTCGGGGAAGAAGGAGGAAGAAGAAGGAAGATAGGGTTTGTTTGGGTTTGATCGAAAAGGAAAGAAGGTGAGGGGATAAGGTGGGATGGGTGGGCCAAAAGTTTTTGTTTTTGTTTTTTTTTAATTATTCAATTTTGTAAATGAAATAAAAAGAAAAATGAAATTATAATTTTTTTTATGTTGACATGGCAGTGACCTGGACAGTTGACCGTTGACCGTCCAAACAAACGGTCAAACCACGTTCCAGGCCAATTTTGTCTATATGCTGCATAGTTTGGGCTAGGATGTTAATTTCTCAAACCACTGGCCAAAGTTGATTACATGGTCATAGTTCAGGCCATAACAAGGTATTAACCCTTCTTTTTTCAACTTCCACAAGTTGAAACCCACGTGGGTTATGCACCATCAGTAATTAAATTTGGACCTTTCGTTCAGAAAATTCAGATCTAAGTATGGAGAACTAAATATCATTTTTATTTTTTCTTGTTTTTTTAATCGGCTCATATCTTCTTCGTTTTAACTCAGATTTTTTTTCCTTTTTCTTTTGCACGGATGAAACGAGTTCGTTATGCTCTACAAAACGATATCCATTTTCAATATTTTTTAGAATTTTTTTGTTTGTCTTCTTCGTTTTTAATTCGTTTTTGAAAAATTTTGCGTAGAAGAAACGAGTTCATCATGATCTATTGGATCTACAAATTTCTGGGTGAACAAAATATATGACCAAACAATACCACACAATACCACCCTGGTACGGGGGTATCCTGAGGTACACAATGTTAAAAGTCGTAAATCACAGTTAATATACTACTACTATTATGTATTCAACCATCCTACAGTCTTGGTCTATTCATACCATCATGATACGCTTTTCAAACCATATGTATGCTCTTATTTCAATATCAGACTGGTGAAAAATGGTTCAATTTTTTTTTTGTTCCAAAATTATATCAAAGTGGATATCATGTTGAAGAGCACAATTAATCTGATCTAATTGTGCAAACGAAAAAAATTCGACTTAAAACGAGTGATAAATCGTCCGTTAAAGATTAGAGGAAATTAAATGCTTTTTAGGAGAGAGAAGGGGCGCTGATGTGACGGATGGTGATTGAGTTATGAATGGCTATTGACCATAAGGTTATTGAATGGATTTGCTCCCCTTGGATTTCTTTGCCCGTTGGCGTACATATATAACCTATATCTATGGTTTGTGATATTATATCGGCCAATCGTAATAGTGGAACTGCATTACGAGTGATCAAAACTGATATGGTTTTTTCACGATTTACTTTCAAGATTTACTTGATGTTTTACACGACTCTTTTTGCCTCAACTTTGACAGAGTGTGCAGATAGCACCTGTTTGCAATCAAGATATCATCTCATTACAATTCATTTCTTTTGAGTCGTCTATGAAAAGTTGGGACGAAAGTGAGCTACAACCAAAATTCCAAACTTGAAACGAAGTTGACTCGACACTAAAGAGACGGTACAACAAAAGAGAGCCACAAATGAAGTTTTGAACGGTGGAAAGTCCACTCTACAATGGCTAAAGGCCATGAGAGAGGTGTGGAACCGATTCTTTTCTTGACCTAGCAAAAGAGGGAACCTACATTCCCTTTCTTCCTAGGCTTTTCAACCATGGAAAATGTTCCAAATTTAGACCAAGGAAAATGAAAGACCAATCTCGTTGACATCCATGTGATGCCCAAATGACATCAGCTAGGAAATGGGAAGTTGCCGGAAATTTTTGACAATGGAACAATTCAACTAAACAAGAAAGTTAACCTTTGATGTATTTCATTCCAACCATTGATTTCAGAATCCATCCCCATCCATGAATACACACTTTTCCAAAATGAGACGACTCTATTCATTTTGCTATTATTTACAGGGATCCAATTCCCCCATCTCCACATTTTCCATCTCCCACAAACAAATGAATGTCAAATCTCATTTCCACCCTTTCCCCCCAATTTGTCCACCTTGTCGACCATCATCGTGTAAACCTAAACTGTTGGTGATGTCCACCTTCCCTGTTTGGCTCCATTATGCTCTTTTGTTTCTTTCCACCAGGTGGGGATGAATGAAAGCCACAGCCCAAAAACTAGCAAAAAAACCGTCGTCTTCTGATTGTTTGTCCCTTTCCCTAAACCGGCGGTGATCCCCCTGCCCTTCTGCTCTTCAGTATTATCGGTGCAACCAACATCCATACTGCCAAATCCACAAAATCAAACACAACCCACAAAACAAAACAGAAATGTTTAGCTTCTGAACCACCACATGGGCATCTAAGCGGGTTGACAATGTCATTTGTGAACTCAATCGTTGGATTTATGCATTGGTATTGTTCTATGATTGAGATTGCTGAATCACATGATACCACGCGATACCACGATATCAACCCACTCTGATGCGTACCCGATTGAAAATGAACGAAAGTTCGATTCTTTTGTTCATCTGAAAATATCTGTAACTTTTGGAGCTTAGTACTCTTGAGTTAAGAGAGATTTTGCTTACCATATACACAAACGGCCAGCCATTCGTTCACTATTCTCACCCACGCACTGGTCCACCCCACATCAATCGTCCACCTGCACACAGCAGAGAGTGGAAAAGAACCAACCCATTTGATCACTATCTTTCATCAAATGTTGAAAACAACACTTCCCTAATCTAATCACTTGCTTTATTAACCAAAAGTTTAGGCCAAAAGGAGGATTGCTTTCGATGGCATTAACCAACTGTTTTGTGGCAAGGAAAAAACCCACCAAAGTCCACTCCACGACAGAACATGATTACCATAATTAGATCAAAGGACCACAGTGCACAGAAGAGAAAATTGAAGAGAAGAGAAGAGAAGAGAAGAAAAGAAAAGAAAAGAAAAGAAAAGTGAGAGTGTCAAAGAACAGGGGAGCGTACTTTTTAATGGCGTGGTGGGTGTTCCAGCCAATCAACAGCATGGCAAAGTACATGGCTCCCGTCGCGAACACGAAGTGGAAGAATCCATACCCGTACGGCACTTCATCTTCTTCATTTTCCCCACTACCTTGCGTCTCGCTTTTCTGGAAGCACTGCGAGTCGATTCCAGTCGAAAATGTGGCTATGACGATCGCCAACAGTCCAATGACAAAGCTCTGCAGAATTGGAAGAGTTGAGAGGGTAAAGTCATCGACTTTCTGATGCGCCAAACTGATCCAGTTAAGAAGGTTTACTTACTATGATGGTGAGCCAATCTGTTCTCTTGGAAGCCTCTGCCTTCCTGTTACAAATCTCCCCTGCCGGCTCACTGTGGATATACATTATCACCATAAAAAAAATATGTCAACTTTGGACCAAATTTTGGGCAAGAACCATGAAAATTTTGAAGAACAATGATGTTTGTTGGGCTTGCCTTCTGATGGCACACCAGCAAAGGAACACAACATACAGCCCCATGAGTCCAGGTGCCAGGAACCCGGCATTTATCTGCACGCGAAAAAACGACCACGTTTCAGCACCTTGCTTTCTTCTAGCAGACCATGAACATCATTGCAATGGATGCACAAAAACAACGAAGGGGTTTGAATTATTTTACTTTAGGGTGAAGAGAGACACTGGTCATGAGTTGCAGAAGCACTAGGGACCAAGTGATGAAGAATATGTTGAGTAGGCAAGATGGGTCTGGAGTGTACCAAATGTACATCATGATTATCCCCACCAGGCTGATTACATAAGAACCCGTCGCCACCACCATTACATGGATATGGCTGCCACCATTCAAAATCACCAAGGTTTCAAGAAACAGTACATTGTTTTGTTGCTGCTAATGACTAATGAGAATGAAAGGGCAATGTGATGGATGGAAACCTCACCATCTTTCTGCGTTTTTCTCAGATAGGCACCGATCGTTGATCCATGTAATGAAGCTTATCACACTCACTAGCTGAATCAGTAGAAACACCCTGCAACGGGAAGAGTTTAACACTGAATCACTGGTCCATCAAATTACAGAAACAAATGCATGTCTAATGTGGCAATGGATACATTACCCTGCACCAAAATGGGCAATCTCCCCTGCAAAAAGAACAGAGAGGAGGAAACCAGATCAGCAAAACCCATTTACCAAAAGAAGCTCGAGAATGCCATTGTTGGTGGAAAAAAACTAACCGTAGATCCTGACCATGGTGGAAGGAAGAAGGAAGGCCAGCAGAGTGACTCCAACCCAGATAGCAATTTTCGCCGACCACCACCCAGAATGCCACGCGTCCCTCGGATCTTGCAGTTTGGAAGTCCCCAAGGTCAAAAGGAACATGAGAATGAAGAAGACGAAACAACCCAAGCTCACCCTCAAAACCCCCTCAACTCCCAAACAGTCCGATTTCCCATCACAGACTTTCAGCCCTGCCAAAAAACACAAGATCCCCAAAATTGGAAATCAAAATCTGAAGCCAAACCAAGAAAACCCAAGAAAAGGAAAGACTCAATTTCTTCTTACTTTCCATCTCGGTCAAAGCGGAATGGCCATAATCACGAGCAGCCCAAGCGAGGAGATTGGCGGAAAGAAAAATGAGGGCGTAGACATATCTAGCCATCCATGGGTTCGACCCGTTTCTGAACTGACCGAACCACGACGGGTCCTTCAAAACCGCATTGTTCCTCTCAATTCTACTGCTCGCGCTCCCACTTCCGCCGGCGGGGACAACGACGCCGGCGGCAGACTCCATTTCACTTTCCCGGCGGGAGTTTTCAGACCAGGCCCACCGCAGCAACGGTAAAGAGAAACAAAACCCACATTTCAATTTCAAATCTTTCTCGCCGCCATTGTCTTCAATCTCTTCTGTTTACTCTGAACCTTGACAATGGCAATGGCGTTTAAATCTGAACAATGGAAGAAGAAGAAGAAGAAGAATCATTGTGTGAGAGAGAGCCGTCATTCTACGGTATACCTAACATAAACCTGAATGCAACCAAACTTCTTTCGCCTTTTTTCCCTATCGTGCTTCGATTGAAAGCTAAGCGACCTACCTAGAAATAACGTCTAATTCTTCCTGTCAAAAAGGGGGTGGTGAAGAAGAAAGAACTTCCTGAACGGCGCCCAAAAGAAAGGAAAAAAAGATCCAACTTGTAGTTGAATTTTCGAACATATTTGGAATTTTATATCCGGAATATATAAAGGAGGAAGGAGAAGCTGAGAGATAAGGACAAGAAAAATAAAAACAAAATAAATTAAATTAAATTAGAACGAATAGGGAGACCTTCATTCATGGGATTCTGGAGTTGGGAGCCATGATTACTCTGGAGATGGTGTGCCTGTCACTACTCACCACCACCACTACTATTGTGCAGAATGCACTATGATCAGTCAATTCAGTGTGACTGCATGATGAGGTAAGCTAATGGGAAGATTCCAATAGGTGTTGATATCGTTGGATGGTGAGAACTAGAGATCTTCGAATTCGTTTGATGTATGGTCGAGATTGTTGGCTCAGTGAACTGTCAAACAATTTTGGTGCTATTATTTTGATGTCAAATTTAACAAAACGAAAAAGCGAAGTGATTACACGTTCTCAATCTTAAGACATACGATTGCAATGATATTGTAATGTACGTACATGAGATACAATCACACTACAAGTACTCATTTTTCCTCGTGGATATTCCAACCGTTAGACAAATCGTAACTCGTATAACTGAGAAGGTATAAGTATGACGCTTACACCTACCTCTACCTCATTCAGGCATGATTGTGATGTATTGTTGCCTAATGGATCCAGTGCTAGTGAACCGATTTCTTGATCCTATCTTATTCCGTTTTAAAGTATGAATGGAATTTAAATGATATTGGAATCTTTATCTAAGTTTAACCGCCTTAGTGGTAGCGCCGAAAGTTGCTTAAAGAGGCGGCTTATGATTGAGACGAGGGAGAGGATTCCCTCCATAACTTAGAGATCTGTTAGGTATCAGTTAGAAATTAAAATCTCTAAACTGAAACTGTGGTTAATAATCCTAGGAGTTCTCTATTTAATTAACCCAACTAATTGTCAATTAATTAGCCTAATCCACCAACTAGTGTAATCCCGTCATTTGCCATTTGGCAACCCACCTCTTTTTTTTTTTTGGGTAGAAACCCACCTCTTTCTGTCCGACCGGCCAATGGTCGGAGCTCCCCTACCGCCGGCCCACCAATTCACAGTTTCTTCTTTTCGTGGGCAAGGTTGTCAACCCGAGGGTTGACCGGATCCGATCGAGCTAGTGGATCAAGGGTTAATGGGTCAACCGTTTTAGCCCGGTTTGGCCCGAAAATGTAGAAAGAGTCATTATATTATACTTATGCTCATAAATTATATCAAATCTTATCTAACATATGAGTTATAACATATAATATTACACCAAAATAACATATCGTACTTAGATCCAACATATAGTGAAAATTCACACACACTTATATAACATAAATATTCAAATGTTCAACTTAGTATTCCAAAGATTGAGTTAGGTGAAAAGAAAAATTGGAAAATAGGCGCATTTCGCAAACTAAAGAAAAAAATGATACAATTTGACCTCCAACCCGGTACCTTATAGCGGTCGGCCCGACAAGTGCGTGCGGCCCGTTTTTCTCATCGGGTCAGGGTCAAATTGGGTCGACCCGTGGATCAACCCGCGAGTTGACAACCTTGTTCGTGGGTATTCATAGTTTGTTTTTAATTGGACATTGATGATAAGTTAATTAAAGTCTTTCATAAAAAATTGTGATCATCATAAGTTTTAAGCAATTATATTATGGAAATGGCCACCTAAAATCAAACATCTCATTATCTACTCTTAAAAGTTCAAAGGTGCTTTTCCTCCAATCTGATGTTAATCTACTTACACTGGCCAACGTCACTCGATTGTAAGCATGCACTTAAAATGTCAAATCTTGGAATACAACAATCTCGGCTATTTGATGCATACGTTTGTGGCTATATAAATACCATCAATGTGTAAATTCAATAATCAAGATCATCGACAACGAGATCCAATTATATCAGTCCATGTTGACGCCTAATCCCATTAGCATGCTAACGATCATACTAAATTGGCGTTAGGAGTAGCATAGAAGTGAATCGATTGCAATTTAAAATCTGACAATTACAATCTGAATAGTTGTCCAGACTAAAATTGATATATAATACAAGTACAGTTAATTCATATATGTAAACAAAACAAAAAATTAAAAGAGGTGTGCCCTAGTCGTACCAGAAAGTCAGCCTCTGTAAGGAGCCATGTGAAAATTTCTTCTACCCAAAAAAATTCATTTATATGGGCCAAAAGTTTGGCGAGTCAAATAATAAATGAAACAATGTGCAATTGTTTACCCTAACAATACTATCACATGTCACAAAGATATCTAACTCGCTTTCCTACTGACCAAAACCTCCCCACCAACCAAATAAAAAGTATTAATTTCCGACTTCGTTTTCTTCAACCAGATCCTAGAGAAATGAAAAATCTAGTAGACGGATCATACTAGATTGTTAAGAAATATAATGATTGTGACCATATATCAAACTGGAAACCCTAGAACCGCAAAAGGATTCTGTTTAGATTCATAAAAAGGATTTAGAAAGAAGAATTTTTGGCAGTGTTTTTTTTCCTTAAGGAGAAACTAAACCGTCGAGGACTCGGAGCTAAGTCACTCGGGTTGTTGTTTGTGGTACTATTAGGATAGAAGTTGCGATGTAAGAATACAACAACACGATTCGATATACTTTGTTTCATGGTACTTCAAAGTTGATGTTGTTTATATTGGTCATTAGAGTTAATGCATATTCAAAGTTGATGTAGTTTATATTGGTCATCAGAGTTAATGCATATGGAACAACTCCCATTCACCAATACCAACAAAATTTCACACTATAAAAATTGAAATAAGGATATTCACCGAGATCAACAAAATCCTCCTCCTAACTCTTAAAACAAGAGTAGAACCTTTTAATATGAGAGTAACATCCTTGTAAGACTAAAACCCTAAATCTTTGAGTTCGCCACACAACCTAGGCAACAAAGGCCTGCTAAAATCATCCCTCTAGAGTTCTAAGCGATACGGTCTCATTTCGAAAATATTTTATCTAGTTTTGACTCGATACTTTTTCCCTCCATCTGTAAAGGATTGAAAATCGTAGCGTTGTTATTTGATACGAGAAAACTCCCTCTCTAGGTTTGACTATCTAGCAATTCAAAGGTTGCATGACGGACCACCATTTGAACGCGTTTGAGGTAAACCTAATTACAATTAGCTTGACATTCAACGATGTAGATAGAAAATTAATGTGATACTGACCTGTGTTAAACAACTTAATAATGCTATTCTAACTAACGAAGCCATCCCACTTTCCCCCAAACCTCTCTTCCATTTATGTTCTTGTTATAATAACAACGTGGAAACTACACAACAACAACAACAACAAGAAGCTACGCCACACCAACTTCTGATATTTCTATTTCGAAAGACCTGAAGTTTTAGTTGAAATACTGGTTTTCAACGCTAACAAAAATAAAAGGGTTTGAACGTGTAAAATGTCAACACCGTTCTTTACTTTCTTTAGCCAACTAATCAAGAATCCAATACTGGGTATTGTACGAGCACGCACCTTATATTGATATCACGATCGGTTGTCTGATTCTCGATTTCGTAGTAGATAACATCGAAAAAATGATTTTAGATTTTGACTCATTCAAAACGAAACTGGAGCCGTTAATCATTTATAAGTGTAAACATCGTTCTTACTTTCATTAGCCAACTGGTCGAGAACCCAATACTTAAATGATTGTACGTGTATACGCATTTTCATCTAATTCTCGATCCCAAAGTAGATAAAGTCCAAATATGATTTTAGGGTTTACGCATTCAACATCATGAAGCGGGGAATTGGGAACAGTTTCGAAACTGTCCCCAGTGTGAATAAGCAGGTTCTCAGGCATTGAAATTCTCTTGTCACCTGACAAAAGATGGAAAAAACTTGGTTGCTGTTGCTTCTGCCTTTCATTATTGGAGCTTCTGCGCCCACCTCACATGAAGCAGGCAGAGAGCAGACAGAGTCTTGCTTCTGGACAGTGTACAAGAATCTCTGCTCGCCAATGCCATACCCTCTTTTTTATTTTGTCTTCTTTTTGTTTGACAATCATGGACCTCTCTCTATTATTATACTATTACTATACTACACATAAATAAATAAAATAGAAAGAGAGATCTGATTTCGTGTGAATGCGTGGAAGGAATCCTCTCCTTTTCTTCTATTCCAAGGCTTAATTTCTGGTAACCATGTTTGATTGTAAAATGTGTTCATTCTGAGATTAACAAATCATCTAATTATTAAAAATAAGGTACTTTTTTTTTTGGGTTTATTACCTTTGAGGTAAAAAAAAAGGGTGATCAAGCTATATTTTATTATTGTTCATGATTTTTGTGGTGGGTGCCCAATTGGGTCATGTTTTGCCTCCCAAAATGAGATCACTCCCCCCCCCCCCCCCCCTTTATCTTTTGACTAATTTGAGGAATTGTGTTTCCTTTTTTTTTTTACGAATAAATAGTAAAATGTATCGACACTATGTTTGTAACGATTTAAGTTTCATCTTTATAAGATATCTCAAGAGGTCAGTCGAATTAGTTATGAGTTGTAGAATTATAAATTTGATAGTTACGAAATCAGGATAGTATTAGACACATACGTCAAGATCTCTGGTCATAAAAAAAAAAAGATGTGGTATCACATAGACTGCTGTCTGCTAACGCAAGCAACAGAAACGATTCTTTCTCCCATGCCAAACCCCAATCCCATTCAATGAACAGAATCAAGGGTTAGCGAAACAAAAGGGAAAATGCAATGAATCGGTCACCCACTCTGTTTGGTTCTTGAGAAACCGATCAACAGAAAGGGAGCTCAGAAGCATGAAAGACAAGCCTAGCCATGATCATTTCGCTTCAGGAAAAGAGAAGCATGTCCAAACTTAAATCTAGATGGTCATATATATCAATGCACTCGAAACTAAATTCTAAAACCACAGTAGAAAGAAACCAAAAAAACAGAGGGAGAGAAAACAGAGCATGATTTCCATACGGATTTTTGCAGAGGAAGTTAAAAAACATTACCTGGTGAAATGAAATAACCCTGTTCCCCCACGGCGGAGAGGAAGAGAACCCAGAATGAAGAACAAAGTGACTCGACTCCAGCAATGGCGAGGAACCCACCAGAAGAACGAAATCTCTCTCCCCTGCCTTTCCCCTGTTCCTTTCTTCTTGCTCTGTTTCTCATGCAGAGACCATGACGAGGGGGAAAATGAAGGCAGTCACGGCTCTTATCTCCTCCTTGTTTGTCTTCTTCTCCAGCTAGCGAGCTGGAAGTTGGGCGATTTCCCTCTCCGGTTGGCGCCTTTTAAACGTGTTATCTGGGATTTGGAGTGGAAGGAAGAGAAAGGCAAAATGGGAATTGGGAGCCGGAGATAGATAAATAGATGAGATAGAAGCAAAAGGCGCCCGGTGGATGGAGTTGCTTTTGCGCCTTTAATTTGTTCCCTTTTGCTTTTGCGCGGCTTGCTTTGTGTTGTTTTTTGTTGCCGAAGCAGCAAATTGGAGTTGGGTTTTCTTCGTTGAAGAGAGATTAGCCAAATGGGGGAGTTCCAGAGAGAAGAAGTAAAAGCAAACTGGGGGAATGAATAGTACTGATTGCTAATTAAAAACGGATTTGTATGTATAATATAACCACTACCTTGCTTTCTCAGCTCCATGGGATTTCCCGATTAGGCAAATATTATTATACGCCTGCTTAATTTTTAGTTACAAACCAATATGTTAGAACCGTACGTACTAGCGGATTGGATAAGACATATCTATCAGACTTCAAATCAATAGGTAATTTTAGCGGTATGAAGTAATTGAACCACAATTTTTATATAAAATAGAAAATATCCTACTAAGTTACTACTAACATTTTGGTACAACTTTCGATATAATCTCGCACTTGTTGTTACAAACTGACAAGTATTTAACTCCTTATGGAAAAAAATAAAAAGTACCAACATAGGTAAATATACCACTTTCTCAACACGTGTGGACATATTTTTGTCTAGTCGACAATTTAACTAAATTAAGAATCAATTCGATTAAGAGAAAAATGAGGATGGAAATCGGATTGGATAAGTTTGGGTTTAATAGTGTTTCCTTACATAGTTCATTCCCTATGCATCAATCATATTTGTCATAAACCAGTCGGTCCCAATAATTCGAGTTGTTGAGAGAATGTTATGTTGGATCTTATAACACTCTCTAACACGCCCCATCAAACGAAAGCCAACCCATGGGTTTGAAGTTTGCACAGGCGATCACATACCCTGTGCTTTAATTAACTTTAATATTGGAGATCGTGGAGATTTGAACACACGACCACTTGGCCAAACCAACTTCGATACCATTGTCATAAACCAGTTGGTCCCAATAACTCGAGTTGTTGGGAGAAGATTATACTGGATCTTATAACACTCTCTAACAATATTGATTCTTCGTAAAAAAAAATCTTATTGATTCTTTGTGTTTAATACTAGAACTAGAAAGGTTATCGTACTAATCCAAAATTTTAAAATCTATAAAATCTCGTGTCTTATCATCTTTGATACAAATCATACTATTCTTATATAATGATATCAGGGAGTGGTACAATTCATATTAGAGGTGATAAGACTCCATAGGTAGGGCTGTCCATATGGTTTTGGTTTTTTGGTTTTAACCGAAACCAAACCAATTGGAAAGCTAATGGTTTCAGTTTTTTTGTTTTAAACCAATAAGCAACTTAATGGTTTTGGTTTGGTTAAAACCAAAAAACCAATAGAAACCATTAAGAAACCAATAAGAATAAAATTATTTATCAACAAATATATTTTTTTTTTGTTTCTTTTGACACGCATGCCAACCAATAATTTGTTATGGCCATTTACCATTATTATGACGTTTATTCCATAAAAAGGAGGGAAATAGGAATAAATATGAGTGTATGAGTACATATTGGTTTTTTGGTTATCCAAACCAAAACCAAAACCATTAAGGCCCTTATTGGTTTTTGGCAACCAAAAACCAATAAGGGCCTTAATGGTTTTGGTTTTGGTTTTTGGGATTTGGTTTTTGGTTTTTGGTTTTTGGTTTTTCATACTTAATGGTTTGGTTAACCAAACCAAACCAAATTGACAGCCCTATCCATAGGTCTTATAAGCCTAGTTTTTGTACTGAACACATGTTGATTAATATCCTGACTAGAAACACTATGTCTAATTGAATGGTTCTTATTCATAAAAAAAGAAGTTATGGGGTTCCTCGAACTAGCAGTTAAATTGAAGGTCTCACTTTCTTATGACATGCAATAAACACGAGTTAAAAGCAGGGGGGAAAACCATCTTAGATTCTGGCTCCGGTTGTGATTCTTTAATATATTAAATCATACAGAGAACAAAAACTCGCCGATATTAGAATCTTCAAACCGTTTTGAGCATGACGACGAGACAAAACGGACAAAATTAAGTTAATTTATACGATGATATATATACACATGATCTGTTACCTTAGAAAACAACTGGTTAGAAGATGACGAATTACACATTTAGGTATTGCCGTATTGGTCTTGGAGAGTGAAATGTTACGCCATAAGGTTGTTAATTGTCCCATGCTTATACACGTATATTACACGGCCTTTTAATTTGGTCAAATCTTTAAGCTGAAAGCTTTGGTTGCTTCTGGGTGAATTGTACAAATGGATGCGAGTCGGTAATTATTCATACGTGAGTACGCTTACTACGAATTATGAATAGATTTAACTCATGTTGTGACTACGCTTGACATGTGTAGTAAATACTATCACAAAATATATTGTTGGGGGCAGAGAAGAAAGGGCCAAATAAGGGGCCAGGAGGCCATCTTGGGCCGAGGAAGGGGCCAGGCCCAAGAAGGGACCGAGGACTGAGGCCCGAGCAGTGGGGCCAAGCCCGAAGAGGGGCGCATGGCGACAAAAGGGGATAACGGTCAGAAGCGTACGGAGGGGACAAGGTGTGGGGCCGTGCGCCTCAAGGCGGCAGGTTGGTGTCAGAATGTCGGAGCGCCCGGGAGAAACAAGGTACAGTGCATTTAATGAGGTGATGACGTAGGGCGGATTCGGGGGGCATTGGTCGACCCTCCCTCGGGTATAAATAGTGAAGTGGGTGGAGCTCATTTACGGAGGTTCGAACTTCTCTCTAAAACTGATATTCCACTTCTCTCTCTAGAAAGTAGTTCTAACTTGGGCGTCGGAGTGCTAACGACCCCTCGAAGAGGGTTCGGTGGGCGCTTTTGTGTGCAGGAAGCGGGGCGTGCGCGCAAGGCGGTTACGTGGCACAAACAATTGGCGCGCCAGATAGGGGAGTATAACCGAAAAAAAGAAAAAAAAAAGAGAGAGAGGAAAAGGGACTCATGGAAGAGGCGGCCGAGGTAGTAGGCGAAGGGAGCCGCGCCCCCAATGAGGCGGCCTCGGAGGGAGCGCCTCATGTGTCAGATGAGGCACAAGGAGCAGAGGGAGAGGCGCAGGAGACGGCACAATCTGAAGGCGTCACACTGACCAAGGAGCATTTGATCAGCATCATAGAGGAGCAAGCCCAGACGCTGGAGGCCTTGAGAAGGGAGGTAGAAGCACTCAAGAAAGGTGGGGACGCCGCGCCTCCCCTCAGCGGGAGGAAAAGGGAAAGAGACGAAGAGGAGGAGGGGATGTCAAGCGCAATGAGGCGTACGGAGGAAGCAGGACACTGGGCGCGCCACGGAGCGCCAGACCTTGAGGAGCCAGCCGGGTGGGCACCCAGGCGCCTGGGGCGCCCATGGGGTGTGAGGCAGCCGCTAGCACGGAGCATCCTTGCAGAACAGGCCAACTCAGTCATACCAGCGCTTCCCAGCTACGACGGCACGTCCGACCTGGAGGATCACCTGAACAACTACTTCACCAAGATGCAACTGTACAACAGCTCTGACGCCACATTGTGTCGCGCCTTCCCATCGACCTTTGTGGGCGTGGTGCTGGACTGGTACCACCAGATCGAGGAGGGGAGGATCGATAGCTTTGAGCAATTCGCGGCTATGTTCCTCTCGAAATTCGCCAGCCGGAAGCGCCGAACCTTAACGTTTAGTGCACTATTCAAGATCAGGCAGCGCAAGGGGGAAGCGCTGCGGGACTTCTACGAACGATGGATGTCAGTCGCGATGGCAGTCAAGGACGTCAAACTGCCAGTCCTGGGGTGCTGCTTGGATGAGTGCACCAATAGCGAGGAACTATGCCGGGCCCTGTCGAAGCGTGATGTCGTGTCGACAGAAGATTTGGATCGGCGGGTGCAGAAAGTCATTATGCTCGAGGAGACGTTGGCCGCAAGAAGGTTGGAGCGGAGAGAGACGCGCCCCGGAGAGGAGGAAGCGCCGCGAAATCACCGGCCGCCCCACGCCCCGCAGATGACCCAAACCTATACCCAGGGGGCCCGACGGCCCGAACCGCCGCGCTTCCCGCCCCGGAGCGCGACGAACTTCACCGAGCTCAACGACTCTTTGAAGAATGTCCTGCAATATGCAAGGGACAAGGGGTACCACCTCCGATGCCCGGGACCCATGCGGGGGCGCCCAAACGAGCAAAACTTGGACAGATACTGCGAGTTCCACCGTGAGAGGGGACACCACACGGCCGACTGCTACCAGCTCAAGTCGGAAATACAGGGACTAATGGACAGGGGAATGTTGAATGAGTTCGTCAGAAAGGGGGAAGAGAAAGCGCAGCGCACCTTCTTGGCGCAGGAGGAAAGAGCGCCCACGGAGGAGAGAGCGTCTCTACCGCGTGAGAACAACCACGAAGAAAGGGTCGAACACGCCCCGAGAGAGGCGCCTGGGGAAGGCGAGGGGTTGCCGCCTCCCCCTTTCGAGGTTGAACCCGAGACCAACCCCGCCCGGGTAAGACTGACCATTGAGGCCATTACGGGCACGATCGATTTAAGGCAAAAATTGGAGGAGGGAAGGCGCCTGAAGTCAGCCACTGCGAGCGCCCGGTCAGCGGTGCAAATTCGGTTTAACGAAATCTCGGAGGAGGCGTGCCGCGTCCCGTCCGTGCAGGCGTTGGATATAAGGGGAGTGGTGGCTGGATGCGAGGTAAAAAGAATGCTTGTAGATACGGGAAGCTCGATGGACGTGCTGTTCCAGTCGACATTCGAAAGAATGCAGTTGTCGCCTAGCCTGGTGCGCCCGGCCGACACGGTCCTGGTCGGTTTTTCGGGGGTGCCGGCGCGGGTCGTAGGGCGCGTGAGCCTGCCGGTGACGTTGGGGGAGGAGGAGCATAGGGTCACACATACCGTCGATTTTGGCATAGTGGATTGCCCCTCTAACTATAACGCCATTCTGGGGCGCCCGCTTCTTGCTCTCTTCAACGGGGTGGCCTCGACGTGCCACCAGGTCCTGAAATTTGTCACTCCGAAAGGAGTTGGGGTGTCAAGGGGCGAGGCGTCGCAAGAGGCACGCCTCGTGAAGAGGATGCGACTGTACAACATTGACGTGCGACCCGAAGACCTACCGCGGGC